ACTGACAACAGGAATCGGAACACTTTTACCATAAGGAGCAGTATGAGAAATAGTTCACATACTCTGCTGTTGTAACAGGAATAGCCATGGTGATGCAGAGGTAAGATACTGAGGATGGGTGTGTGGACAGCAGCAAGCCGGCACCCTGGGGTGTGGGCAGGCCTGAGAGTGGTGAAGGGGCACTCTTGCCTCCAGCCCCTCTCTCCGTGGTATAAAAAACCCTGAGCTTGGGTGACCCTGGAGGAATTTATGCTGAGTGAAATATCTCAATCACAAAAGGATGAATATTGCATAGGGCAATTGTTGTAAAACAGGGCTGACATCGGGGTTGAGGGAAGACTGAGAAAGTTGAGATAAGTAATGTATACTGCACTGAAACGGATGAGGGAGAGAACTGTTTAAAAGGGATATATGATTAGGTATTATTGCCATGCCAGTAGTCCAGAATGAAGGCTGCACAGTGGAGTGGACTTGGGGGAAAGGATTGTATAACAATGAAAGATTTTTTTTTTCTTTCACTTTTCAAAGAGAAGAGCAGATTAGGGGGGAGGGAGTGGGCAGGGAGAAAAGTGCAACAGTGAATGAATGGAAATTCTAAGTCTCTAAACTTTCATTAAAATGAATTTTTAAAAAAGAAAAAAAATAACCCACCCCTGAGCTTGTTGTATTTATTCACTGTCTTTAGTTGTGAGAGCAAGATTAGCTTTTGGATGGTCTGTTTTGCATTCAGAGATGAAAGTGCTTTGACTGGGTTTAACCTGGAACTCCTGACACTGGGAGGTTATTTAGAAATTAGCCTCAAGGAAGAGAGATTGGTCTGTTCTGAATCTTGCCATCCCTGCCAGTCTGTCCCTGTCACACGCCGGCTTTGAGAGGGCAAGGGTATGTGGACTGAAGGCTGTCGTTTGTCAGTTCCTGGTAAAGGAGAGAGAACTGGATTTTGCCGCCCTCGAGATGGGGAGCTCGTTTTCTTGGGGATCCTGAGCCTCACTCACCTCAAGCCCTGAGCCCGCTGCGGGGCTGGCCCAGAGCAGGTGCCCTCAGCACGTCTGCTGACTTAGACTCGCTCCCACATCAACCCCTGAAACACAGCAACTTTCCGCAGTGATTTCTTAGATTTCATTGAGTTGAAAGCAGCATAGCCAAGGAGCTGGATTCTTATACCAGAAAGTCAACAGGACTGCCAAAAAGAACAGGCGAATCTGGCTTGGAGGAAGTACAGAGAGGTCCTTAACCAAGGATGGTGAAACTTGGTCTCATTTACTTTGGACACATTGTTGGGAGGGGCCAGACCTGGGAAAAGACGTCACCCTGGGAAAGTAGAGAGTCAGAGAGAGAGAGAGAGAGGAAGAACCTCAACAAGACAGATGGATGCAGTGACTTTAACAGTGGACTTGACTCTGGCAGAAATCGTGAGGACGGTTCAGGACAGGACAAGCTTTCAGTTTGCTGTTTACAGACCTGCTATGAGTCATACCGGCCTTGAAGGCACCAAACAGCTACAGTAAACAAGATGAGCTACAATCTCTGTATTCTTCTGGAAGAGCTGTTTCCATTTAAAAGAAATCAACTTGCCACATGAGCTCACAGTGGGCTGAAAGGCCGAGTGCCACCATGAAGACCGTGCACTCTGGGCAGCGCTATGGGTCATCTGCTGGGCATCGTTGCTTCCAGAACTGGAGGTGGATTTGCCCGGCAGCCTCTGGTGCTTTTATCAAAACCTCCTCAGCTCATGTGCATGCAGACGCTGGACAATGAAAACAGAGCAAAGGAGAATTATTAAGGCATTTGAATTGGCAGAGAATACTGATGATACTACAGACTGTCAAAACCACAAGCTGGACGAAGGACAAACGGAAGACTCCTCAGAAACAAGGATGATGGCGGGACATCAACTTGTTTAATTTTGCTGTGTCCTCAGGAAAGACCAGCCTTGAGAAAAGGACGTCGTCTTTGGTAAAGGAAAGGGTCCTTGAAAACGAGGGCGGCCCTCACTGAGCTGGACTGGCAGTGGCCTCAGCAGTGGACTCGCAGACCTGCCTGCCAACAGCCTTGAAGGTGGTGCAGGCCTGGACAGCGGTGTCCGTTCTGTGACGTGTAAGGTCACTGTGATCTGGAACTGACCAGATAGCATCTGACAGCAGCACCGTCACCCCAGGCACACACACTGGGAAGAGACAGCAGCACCGTCACCCCAGGCACACGCACTGGGAAGAGACAGCAGCACCGTCACCCCAGGCACACGCACTGGGAAGAGCTGGTGCAGCGTTCTGGGCACGCTTGCCTCTCTGACACAAGCGAGGGAACCAAACTGGACCGGCTGCTTTACCTTCAACAGCAGCTGTTTCACTGCATGATGACTCTTATCTGGGAGAGGACAAGGGAAGGGACAAGGGTCAGATCTGTTGCTCATAGGGTCGCAGTGAGTCATCGTCAACAGCACCCGACATCCCTCTAGGCCAGTTTTAGTTTTATCACCTGCTAACTTACTGCACCTCAGCTCTTGATTCTAACACCTGCCCACAGCCACTGAGTGCATTCTGACCCATTGAGTCACTGCCGTTGGTTTTCTGAGGCTGTAAACATTTGTGGGATTTGGTGTGGCAAAACAATATATACGTTGTTTTGTTGTTGTTATGTGCCGTCGAGTCAAACTTTGTAAATAAACTAGTATAACATTAAAATTTTTTGTGTGTGTGGAAGGAGACTGCTATCCTTCTCCTTGGAGCACCTGCTGGATTGGAACTGCCGACCTGTTGGTTTGCACATTACACAGTACACCTCCAGGAATGCATTAAGTATAGTCATAGTTATGGGGGCATATTGTCCTATGAAGGGGGTTTGAGAAAATAAATATTATCCCTAAATTGACACATGGAAAAGGTAAATTATTTGAAACATGGCTTTGATGTCATAGAGTATAATTAAAAGTATGGACTGCTTTTTTAAAAAGTTGTAGGTCTTTCCGTATTTTTTCTTTTTTTATTAATTTTAGTGAAAGTTTACAGAGACTTAGGGTTTCCAGTCATTCATTGTTGCACTTTTCTCCCTGCCCACTCCCTCCCCTCCAGTTCACCCTTCTCCTTGAAAAGTAAAAGAAAAACTCTTTCCTTGCTATGCAATCCCTCCCCCCAAGTCCACTCCACTGTGCAGCCTTCATTCTGGACTCCTGTCATGACAATAATACCCACTCATATATCCCTTTTAAACAGTTCTCTCCCTCATCTGTTTCAATGCAGTGTACATCATTCCTCCCTTCCTTCTCTGTTTTCCCTTATCCTCGATGTCAGTCCTGTTTTACAGCAGTGGCCCTATGCAATATTTGTCCTTTGTGGCTGAGATACTTCACTCAGCATAAGGTCCTCCAGGGTCACCCATTTTGCATTCTATTTCATGAGTTCCTTGTTTTTCAATGCTGCATAGTATTCCATTGTGTGAATATACCACAGCTTCTCTATCCATTCTTTTGTTGATGGGCACTTGGGTTGTTTCCAACTCTTTGCTATTGCGAACAAAGCCGCAATAAACACGGGTGTGCATGTGGGCTGCTTTTAACTGCTTGTGCCTCCGTTTCTCCAGTTGCACAGTGGTGTGGATGAAGGTTACATCAGAAGGTTGCTGTGCGGGACGAATGGTGGGAGGTGTGGGAAGTACCTAACTTCTTCCTCCGTAGCAGAGACGACTCTGTTACTATTACCCGGCTCTTGCCATCTACCTAGCAGGTGCTCAGCAATTACTGGGCAAGTGACTGAAAATTATTCGCCTGGTCAGGACCGCCGATAAGATGCCAAAGCCTAAATCTTCCTAAGGCCAGATGGCCCCAGCATTAGACCACTTAACCAAAAAAGGAATGGAAGAGATGATATCCGGGGCATTGAGCTAGACCCTGTGCCACTGAGGTGCCCACCTGGGCGCAGAGGACAGAGGTAGTGGGTCAAACACTCTGACTTGCAGTTCACATTCATCTGCCATCTTGCTGGTACTACTGCTTCTCAGAGAACTTTTCAGTCCCTATGTCCAGAGCTGAAAATAACAGAGACAACTCCTTGGCTCCGTTTAACAGTAAAAACTTTGAATGATAGTGGAAAGGAAGTGTCTTGTCTGAAAAGAGAAGGGGGCAGGGAAGCCGAGAATCCTTGTAAGTGTCATATCCGCATGACAGTGAGAGCTGACAGCTCCTGTCTTACACTGAGCGCTGTACTGTACGTGTGGCTTCCCTCACGTTGTCCTCCTGCCATCTCTGTGGTCAGTTTCTGTATCTCCATTTCTAGGTCACTTCTCCAGGGACGAGGTGTGGTGGCCGAGGGAGGGAGAAGGTAGAGGGTCGGAGAAGAAGAGGTGGATTGACAGAGTGACTGTAGAAATAGGCCCAAGTGTGTCAGAGATTGTGAGAATGACACAGGATAGGACGGGGTTCAGATCTGTTGTTCATAGAGTCGCGATGAGCCGTACTCAACTTGACGGCACCTAACAACAGCAATGTAGAGTCCTTTAGGAGTGGTGAAGTTGATCACTTGGCTACTCACCAAAAGGTTAGCTGTTTGAATCCACCCACAAGTTACTTGGAAGAAAGGCCTGGTTATCTGCTTCCAAACCATCGGCCATTGCAAACCCATGGCACCCATGGGCTCAGTCTGACAGTACCTGGTTTGGGAGTTTTGCTAATCCACTAAGTAAATCTTTCTAAAAATCTGAGGTCATTTTTGCTTTCTCTTCCTCTCTCATGTCTAAGGTACTAAAGTCGCGTCGGCTTCTGAACTTGTCCTGGGTTGGTGCATTTCTCAGTATTTGCTGTCACTTCAAATGCATCCCCTTCCCCTGTTTGGATTATTGTGATAGGTTCTAAACACGTATGCTCACACCCACTCTTCATCTACCCCACGCTCTTGTTAAGTGTTCTTACCCTACACGCGTGGGTGGATGTGAATGGCATTGGTGCTCTGTGTAATTCTCTCTCTTTTTTCTCACCCCTTTCTTTTCCTGTCTCCACTCTTTTCCAGGTTCTCGGACTGCTGGTATGGACGCTGATTGCTGGGACCGAGTACTTCCGTGTCCCCGCGTTTGGCTGGGTCATGTTCGTGGCTGTGTTTTACTGGGTCCTCACGGTGTTCTTCCTCATCATCTACATAACCATGACCTACACCAGGATCCCCCAGGTGCCCTGGACCACGGTGGTAAGGAAGCCCATGGGCACTCCTGTCTGTTGTCCACTATATAGGATGCCACTGGCCCTGCACTCATCTATTCTGGGTTGTCTCTTAGGTCTACAATGGGCCAGACAGTGGAGAGCCCAACCCTGCCAACAACCTCATAATGAGGTATTATCCAATAACCTCATTTTAAAATATTCTTCTTTCTTTTGTCAGTTGTGATACCAGTGAAAGTTTATAGAGCAAATTGGTTTTCTGTTCAACTATTCATACACATTTTGTTTCATGACGTTAATTACAATATGTCCTATATCATCCAATAGTCTCTTGGGTGTTGTATATTTGAGTATGAAACTCAACTGAGACCCAGTTCTCTGCAAATCAAATCAAAGGGAGGCCAGTTCTCTACGGAGACTCATCTGAACATTGGATTTTAAAATAAACTGTCAGCACCTTGGATTAGTAACGAGGATACTACGCAATCTCAGCTCACTGTCCTTGAGTCAGAACCAACTCCCCGCTGACCCTCCAGCGGGTCAGAGGCTATAAGTGCCATGAGGGGAGATTGCACATCTTTCTCTCTCTGAGCAGCTGGCGAATTCTAAGTGCCTGCCTTTAAGTTGGCAGTGCACCTCTGCCCGCGAGACCCTGTGGCTCCCTATGGGAAGATGTTGTTATTGTTAGGTGACGTCCAGTCAAGCACGACTTATAGCGAACCCGTGAACACCAGATCTGAACCCTGACCTCTCCTGTGCCAGCCTCATAACCTCTGACACACTCAAGCCGGTCGCTGTCGTCATTCCACCGGTTGAGAGTCTTTCTCTCATTTGCGGTCCTCCCAGCTTTCCAAGTATGACGGGGAGAGAAAATAAAGTTAATTGAGTGAGTTGATAGAAGGCTTTTTGGGGGAGGATGAGTCTTAAATTTGGCCTTCAGAATCATGGCTATGAACTTGAAAGAGTGCATACACTGTGAAAGGAGCAAATCGTCAGGATCTGATGTAAATACTGTCTTTAGGTCCACCTTGGCCTGAGTTTTGGTTTCCGCTTCTCTGGTCTAGATCAGCTGTTAGCAAACTCTTCCTGCAAAGAGCCAGATTGTAAATATCTTCAGCTTTACTGACTGGCCTGGTCTCTGTCACAACTACTCAGTTCTGCTTGTGCTATGAAAGCAGCCGTAAATCCTTCAGCCCTGTTTTGGTAAACATTTATTTACAAAAGCATGCAGCTAACTACACATGGCCTGCAAGTCATAGATTAAAGATTTCTGGCCCAGATCGTCTACAATGATATCTTTTTTTTAAGCCTAAATCTCCTTCACTTATTTATTGCACTAACTTTTTTTTTTTAAATTTTGTCTTTAATGGCACTCAAAAGCATATTAGCAAAAAAAAAAAAAAAGCATATTAGCAGCACTCCCTTCTGGCACTCCCTGCTTTTAACAGTACTTTGATTTGCATTATTAGAATTTACTATCAGAAGGTATGTCCCCATTTTACAGAGAAGAAAACTGAGGTTTGACCTCTTGTGACATTGCAGACTTACACGAAGCTGGTGGTGGGTTTCTGTTTGTTTAGTTGATGGGTTTTTTTTTCGGGGGGGTTGTTTTTCCACTTTCAGAGCATGTGGATATAATCTGGTTCATTTCTGTATTGTACAATCCGTCCTCTGAGTTTTGATCACCACTCTCATCAAGCATCTTAATGCCTCAGTAGGAACAGTCAGTTTTCTTGCTAGGAGAGATCATAAAGGTTCCATCACTCCGTTGTCAGGTCAGCTTTTGCTTCCCAGTGAGTTTAATTTGCCTGTTGGAGAACCTAAGACTGCAGATAAGGGATCAATTGGCTGATTTCTTCGCTGGGGACTTGACTGAGAAACTACCCACAGGACACTTCAGGAAAACCGCCCGTTCATACATTCCACCCCCCAGCCTCCGTTGACGAGGCCTGAGTGCTGTGTTTGGAGCCATGTTAACAATGTGCTTTCCTCTTCATAGGTCCAGGGAGCACGCAGGTGCAAGCTTACCTGCAGCTGTCTCTAATATGAACCGGCAGCCGCAGCTGGTTCCACTAGCGCCTCTGAGCCAAAACAGCATTTACCAAGCGAGCCTTGGATGTATTTTGTGGCAAATCTGATTAGAGCTGAGATTTTAAAGCACTTAAATTTGCCATCTCACAGCACTACCCCAATGCACACTCTGGGATTTCATCATCTCCACAGTTCACCATGGACTTCACTGCAAACCTTCTCAGCCTCTTAGCACAGCTAGACACTGTTGTTAGTTGCCCTCAAGTCAACTATGAGTCATAGCAATCCTAGGAACATAGATCGAAGCTTGACCCCATGCTGTGCCGTTCACAGTCTCCTTCATGCTTAAATCCATGCTTTCATTTTGTTGGGTTTTTTTAATATATATATCTTTTTATTTTCCCCCATTCATTCATTCATTCATTTATTGTTGCACATTTTCCTTCCTACCAGCCCCTCCCTTCCAGTTCACTTTTCTCTTTGGAAAGAAAAAAATTCTTTCATTGTTTTACAATCCACCACCACCACCAACAACAACAACCCAGTCCACTTTACTATGCAGCTCTTATTCTGGACTCTTGTCATGTAAATAATACCTAATCACATATTCCTTTTGAACAGTTCTCTCCCTCATCTGTGTCAATGCAATGTACATTATTTATCCTCTTTTTTCTTAGTTTCCCCCAAACCCGATGTCAGTCTTGTTTTATAACAGTGGCATTATGTAGTATTTGTCCTTTTGTGACTGAGATATTTCATTCAACATCATTTCCTCCAGGGTCACCCATTTTGTAAAATATTTTATGAGTTCCTTGTTTTTTAATGCTGCATAGTATTCCATTGTGTGACTGTACCACAGCTTCTCTATCCATTCATTTGTTGATGGGCACTTGGGTTGTTTCTAACTCTTTGCTATTGTGAACAAAACCACAATAAACATAGGTGTGCATATATCTGCCTGGGTGGCAGTTATGGTTTCTTTGGGGTATATTCCCAGTAGTGGAATTGCTGGGTCAAGTGGTATTTCTATTTCCAACTTTTTGAGGAAGCGTCATACCGCTTTCCACAGGGGTTGCACCTTTTTACACTCCCACCAACCGTGAGTAAGGGTTCCAGTTTCTCCACAACCTCGCCAGCATTTGTTGTTTGCTGCTCTGCTGAGTTTTGTGATTGTTACTTGAGCCCATTGTTACAGTCTTGGTGTCAGTCTTGTTGAGGGTCTTCCTCTCTTTCTCTGACCCTCTGCTTCTCCCACCTTGATGTCTTTTTCTAAGAACTGGCCTTTCCCGACAGCATGCCCAAAGTGTATGAGATGAAGTGTCACCCTCCTCACCTTTAGGGAGCTCCCCGGTTGTACTTCCTCCAAGATAGGTCTGGTTGATATTTTGACAGTCCCTCATAGAGTCCGTGCCTCTGGAAACTCTACGAACTTTGATAAATGCCAATAGTTATAGAAAGGCTTCAGGCCTTTTGTTGATAGGGTCCCTATGAGTCGTGCTCAACTCGAAGGTAATCAACAACAGTAACAATGATAGAGTCAGTGCTCTTCAACACTATAACTAACTCAAAGGCCTCAGTTCTCCAACTTTCACATGTATGTGAAGCAATTGAAAATACCACGGTTTGGGTCAGGCGCTGACATCATTTTCTTGTGAGGAGCCTTCGAGCCGACTACATCACTCTGGGTCTCCAGGGCTGTAAGTTACCAGAAGGTGACTGCCCATCTTTCTCCCAAGGAGAGACTGCAGGATTCAAGCCACAGAGAGGTGTGATCTTTGAGTCAGCAGCACAGCCCCCTAAAGGCCATACACCCTGCTCTCCCTTTTCCTCTGTGTTGTTGTTAGGTGTCATCAAGTCAAGGACAACTCACAGCAACCCCTATGAACAGCTGACCTGAACCCTGTGCCGTCTTCATCATCTCTGACACTCTAGAGCCCAGAGCTGAGGTCACGGTGTCGATCCATCTCTTTGGGGATCTTCCTCTCTTTTGCTGACCCCCCATCTTCCCAAGTACACTGTCTCTTTCCAAGGAATCGCCTTTCTGGCTACTTATTCTGTATGAAAGACGAAGCTTTGCTGTTTCCTCTATAGAGACAGGATCTTCAGTCAGGCCTCGGACACCCAGCTAGTCCATGGTTCCCGGCCACGTGCCACTAGGTGGCGTAGAGGGCTGAGTTCTTGCCAGTGGGCTGTGACAGGAGGTGGTATATGAAGCTGGCAGGTCTAACCTGGTCTAATTCCTCCAACAAAAACACAGCTCTTTGCTGTTGAGTTGGAAGCCGCTCATAGCTGAGCCTGCAGCAGGTTTTCAGAAGCTATAAATCTCATGGGAGGAGATTGCCCATCTTTCTCCCTCAGAGAAGCTGGTGCATTCAAACTGTCTGCCTTGGGGCAACTCCTTACCCACTAGGCCACCAGAGCTCCCTCTTAGTTCTCTAGTGCTGCTGTGATAGAAACGCCTCCGGCGGGTGACTTTTAAGGATTAAGACCTATTTTCTCACCGTTCTGGAAACCGAGACGCCACATCAGGATCCCAGTGATGTCTACTTTTTTCTCTTAGGTGCCCCAGGAGTTCTTGGCAATCCTTATATTACACATATGATGTTGTTGTTGTTGTTGTTCCTCTTCTTTTCTCTCTCTCTTTCTCTCTTTCTCTCTCTCTCTCTCTCTCTCTCTCTCCTGTCTCCCTCCTTTTCTCTGTTTGTCTCTCTCCCTCTCCTCCTTCCTCTCCCTCTCCCTTTTTCTGTGTGTCTGGCTGTCTGACCTAAAGAGCTCTTTAGATAATTCACAACTGACTAGCTGTAGGACCCACCCTATTCAGATATGAATTCAACTGAGGGAGTGATTAGATTTCTTTAGGACAGGTGATTAGCTCAGATTAAATTATAATCTACAGATTCATCCTAGAGAGGGTTAAACCAGGCTGCTCCTTGGAGGTAAGGATTCTGGGGCTTCGTCTGATATACTTTGGACATGTTGTAAGGAGAGACAGGTCTT